TTTTTGATGACTCAGGCAAGTTTACGTGACTCACCTTGATCATCGATTTTGCGTGTCCTTGAACTTGTATGCAATATTGTGCATAATTTTGTCCGTAATAGGAATTTAGAAACCATACTCTTATATTTTTAAGAAAAAAAATATTTAAAAATATATGATTATCTAAAGAAATTCTTAATCAAAATTTTATATGTATAAATGTTTTATACGTATAATTAAATTTTTGGTACGATTTATTTTTAATAGAAAAGTAGAATTTCTATCTTTTTTTAGGATTAGTGACATAATTGGAATCGGAAAGTTTTAGGTTTCATTGAAATCTAAAATTATTACTCAAAATAGATTCTGTCGCTATCCATGCGGGCGCTCCAGTTAGTTTTCCTCTTGATATAGAGTGCATATTACAACCCAGGTCAGGCACTCGATAAAGTACGCTGACGTAAGTCGCCTGAAATAATCTTGCACGATATTCCCTTGCAACTGCCACGATTTTCCCGCATCTGTGTACATTTCCGATGATATCATCGATGCTCTGGCGGCAGTGTCTCGATAAGAGAATGAAAATCCGCGAACTCGATCGTTTCGGCGGAGGCTGGAGATTTCTTTATCCCTCGTGCTCCATTGATCCAAATTCGTTATCGGCATTATATCGAGCCCGCTAATCCGCGATAACAAATTAGTCGAGTGATATCGGTCGATTTATTAAGATAGGTTAGGACCGTGTCGAGCAAGCGGTCGGTGATAAACGTGACGGAGTTGCATAATCACGCTCGGCGCGAGTACGTATCTGCGCAAAAACACGCGTGCTCGCGCGCGAGCTTCTCGGCGACGCGACGCACAGGGATTCATGCATCCAGGTGGCACGTATGCGGTTGTTCGTCAATAATCGTTATCGCGGCTGCACACGCGTCCGCGCTCGAAAAAGATGGAGAGTTAGATACACAGAGATACAAGCGGCCGCGGTGGAATTCGCCGCTATTTTCATGAAAGCGGGGAACGCGCTTCTGGTCGCACGACACGATATTACCGCGAACGAGCGGTGCGATTCGCGGAACCGCTGACTAATCGGCTCGGTCGCCGACATAACAGCTCACGATTGAGTAACCGCCGGCAATGAGAAGGCGAATGAGAGAGCAATCGGGAACACGCAACGGAGTGAGATGCGCGCGAAGGGCGCTCTTTAATGTGCGATAGCGTCATTCATGAGCGGCGGGATAGAAGGAAGAGGTGTCAGATGTGAAACACTTCCTAGAAACGTAATCCGTCTCTATGCTGGACCGACCGGACTCGATACACTGTATCGAGTCGGTGTATGGTTACGAAAACTTATCCGCTCGTTCGAACTGTGTATATATATATTTATATATATATACACGCCTGCTGTTTGCGCAACAACGTTAGATCAGATCCCACGTCGTCAAAACACGCGACATACAGTCATGTATTTTACGATGTTATTACTTCGCCGGAATGGCTAAGTTAAGCCAGATGTTTCTAATTGCAAATTAGATATTGATCTCTTTTCTCTTAGCACGAGAAGCGTCTTACCTTAAATATAGGCAGGTGCAAATTGCACGATATCGCTCGTTCTCGTTTCAATGTACTAATGAGGGATGCGTAAATTAGCAATATTTATTACACGCCTGCCAAACGGACGAAAAGACGATTCGTATTCGGTTGAAATCGCTGTCCGTGCGCTATACACCGCGCAATTTATTATTAATAACGTTTATCTAGCGGTTTTTCTCGGAAGTTATCTCACAGTTAATCCTGACGACCGCAAAACATTGATACCGTGCAATAACATTTGATACGCCTGTTCGCTAAGCGCTCTCGTTACAAAAACTGATTCGTGTGCACAAACAGTTCGGCACTCCTGTTAATCGAGGCGAGATTAGAGTGTATTTTAACGGTTTGCTAATGGTGTTACTCAAGCACGCGAGAATTAATCGCTCCGCGTTACGTGTACGATACTTCGCGCGAAAACAATCTTGCCGCGCACGGATGCGTTTGTACTAAAAATAGTGCGTCCAGTTGGACGTGCGAAATCCACCTTCGCGCCGCAGCGCGTTTGCGCGTCACCGTGGACACACGATAACCACCCAGATTTCACGGTATCGCCCATGTTCACCGTGTTCGTGAATTCGGAGGCCCGTATGCGTGAACTGCGCGTCAAGGTTAGATAATAACTTTCTTGCATCAGCGCGCGAGGCGGAGATACCATTCTTAGATAGCGCCGTGGCGGGTGTGTGCGTACGCTAACTACGGAAACCGGTTTAGTGCGCACTAAATTGGACTACGGCCTACTATTTTTTTTCCTCGCCGTTACGTCCAACTTAATGGCTTTCACGTGTATCGCGCCACGTTCTTATTTTTATTCCAGAGTTCAAGCGTACCGTTTCTTTTTTGTGGCCGTCCCACCAACGGGCCGGCTGCGAAGAATGTTTCGCCGAAACCGAAAGTTAGCCGATCGCGTACTTCCTACATGTTTTTTTAAAGACTATTTTTCTTACAAGGCTATTTCGTTCAACATGTGCTCGGTATTCATTTAAAATATAAATCATGGAACACTGAGAGATAAATATAATCGTTAATTATGTTTCCTATAGAAACATTTATGAGTTAATGTGGAAATTTTTAATAACCAATTGAAGAATCTTTGTTTTTCTTGGAAATTTTTTAATAATTCTATAAATAGAAATCCGCCTTTGGCGATATATATGTATGTATATATTGGATAATAACTTTCTTTGGCGACTCGTGTGACTACTCACGTGTATTTTCAACGTGTTGCGAATATCCAAACAGCGACACAGCGCAAAAAAAGGAGCGGCGCCACGGCGCGTTCTTTGCGTTTATCAGCTCTTGTCTACATTGTTGACTACTAATCGCAGTAATGCGATGTAAACAGCGCTATTTACTTCGCGCGGACGTTTCGAGCGCGCGCGCACTTACCACACGCTGTCGCAACTTATTCTCATAACATGTTATATAAGGATATTACTCATCCATGCGATACTGTACAACCTAATAATATAAATTCTATTATTGGATTTAATAGGCGATTTAAAAATTTATGACGATGCACAACGATAGGGAACGGGAAAAATAATACTTTGGCAGTTTACACAACATCTAGATGGTTTTTGCAGTTATCACGCCTGATACATAACAATAGACTGTAAAAACGTGCTGTTGTGCTTTTCGCTTTGTTATGACGGCTAGTAAAATTACAGCGTAATGTCTGGCGCCTAGGAAGTTACATGAACAACAAAGAACAAACTTTATACTTTAATACTTCGGTTTCTGGAATGTAATTAGCGTATTTGTAGTGTAGAATGTATATATGTATAGGGCAATATCTGTGTGATGTTATCTTTGGTCTTATAAAGTCAGGATTTTATCTTCGGTAATTATACTTCCATTAAATCAACTTTAAATTTACCTTGCATACAAAATGTATAAAAAACATCACAAAGTTATTTCACACACACACACACACACACACATAGACTTACTACGAGATTTACTTTTTGATTTAATACGCAAGTTGTAGCGATATTTACAGCGCCTTTAAAATAACATTGATCTCGGAATAAGGATTGTTGTTCAGAAGTAATGATATCCGAGTTGTACATTTCGCCAACTTATCTACGCAAATTTCCTTGGAAAAATACTTCACTGAACCATTGCGATAGGTGGCAATATGCAATTTTCTGATAGCAGACTCGCGAATCGAATAGGTAGAGTGTATTGCATAATGCAAGCAGACGTCCCTCCCTCCCTCTTCCCTGCAGGGAAACCACTGCTTGTCTCCAACAGTGCGCAATATTTTCGTGACCCTCGACTGACATTGCCAAACATACCAATACAGGCGCCGATAGAGGGACGGTCTCGCTAGAGTGGAGGCCAAGGTCGCGGTTGATCCCCACCCAACCGCATGCTACTATGTTGACGCCTATCGCTCGCTCGCTTGCCTGTTCGTCTTCCTGGTGACGCAACTGTGTTGCACAGCTCGGTCCGACCTTTATGGTTGTAGTTGTAATTCCCGCTCGCGCTGAGTATCCTGGCGTAGCCACCTCTCTGGCGCCTGTTGTCGTTCTATTTTATCGTTTTAATTTGCCGTGCTTGTAGTAGAATCACTTCCACACACCGGAGTCGGAGCGACATTGATTCGCTACATTGTTATGCCGAACGTTACGTAACAAAGAAGCCGATGCTTATTCGGTGCAGATGCACTATAAAAAAGTTATTGATTTATTTTCGTACCACGAGGCATTAGTCTTAATCAATATGTACACAGTTTTGTTTTATTACGGACCATTAGGCTTTATTATTACATTTATAATTGAAGAATTAAAACAAGAATAAAAGAGATTTATTCCATAATTTATATTGTAAAAATGTTATTTTTTAATTTATCTGAAAATAATCGGAAAGGAATTTGAAAATGCTTTTGAATTTGTTAGGTTGAATTAATATTTTATTTAACGAGATTTATGTCTCGTGATATGTAATCGATGTGTAGTACGGCTTCGTCGAGGTACCTTGCTGCCCTTCTGTTCAGAAAACTTTACTCACGACTTTTTCTACAACGTTTGATATGGGACTGACTAAAAAGCGACACACATACGCGCGCAGAAATATTTCACGTTGGCTTTCATCGTCGTCACATGCATATAGGAAGTGTACGACGAGGGTCGTACACTGACGTCCTTGGAGAGAAGGTTGTCAAGCGAGGCCGAGGGTCCGAAGAGTTATTATGAATCGCGAAAAATTCACTGGTACGCGAACTTTACCGTTGGAAGCCCTTTTAAAGGGTTCGTTTACAACCGTAGCGATCATGTCGTTCAATATCAATCTCTATCCTGTAACGAGCGTTGTGTTTTTTGCGCGGAAAATAAATGGAGATATGTTAAGTGCGTAGAATATGGATGATGCAGTGCGCGTTTCATCTTCTATCTCTCTAGCGTCTAAAATTTTGTTTTATCTGTTTGCAGACAAAGTTGCGGCGCCAACGGCATTTTCTCGCGTCGTTTGGACTTCAGCGCTTTCAACAGTCTGCCACGCACCAAACTGAACTCCTATCACATCAAGGTGAGTAATTAATTATCTACTTTATGACGTGGCGGAAGTTTCGCTTACAAGGCGTATGAGTATGACGCGTTGCTTTGTTAGCGAAATAGACCGTTTGCGGGGATGATGAATCGCCGACGATTACGACATTCGAGCTGTGTCGTAAAATCGTCGAAGCAAAACACTGTATCGGGAAAGAATTCGTATTTCTTAAAGCGGAATATGCTTTTTTGATCGGCCTCGAAAGTAGCGAAAGAGAAAACAGGCAATAAATTGTCTTTTGTTATTTAATAATGAGGCAAGCGTAATAATTTAGCATTTAATTAAATAGAAATTTGCATACGTGTTGTACGAGAGGCACGAAAAAACAACTTGATATATGGAGGATTAAACTAATATTAGCGACCGGCTTTAATCTCGTCGTAGAAACCCGTGAAATTAATCTCGGTCGAGAGGCCGTCCTTTCCGCGCGCGTAAATCAGGCATAAGCTACGCCCCCGGCGAATCCTTTCGCATCCCGTCGTGTAACACTGTCGTCCTACCCCAAATACGAAGGGAAATCAATACTCGAGCAGCTCGAGTAGCGTGCATGTGCCTCTTTGCGCACGCATGACACACACACACACACACACACACAAATACGTTTACATTCCGCACCGACATTAAAGAGTACTTTTACTTTCTTGAGACTTTTCCCTTGACCCGCGCCACTCGCTGCGCAAAGTCCGCTTGCATTAACGCCAATTAACTCCGGTTAACTGACTTATCCACCTGTATCACAAAGAGCACTATAATTTGGAGAGCGAGAGAGAAAGAGAGAGAGAGGAGCTATCGTTAACCCGAGATTGTCGACGTGATTCGCTCTAAAGCTTAGGTTACACCAGCGTGTCGGTTAGCGCTAATCCTGGTTAACTGACTCTTCCTTATCCGTTTGTATTGCACAGCGGTGTTATAATCCCGTAAGAGACAACGAATTGTTATTTCGAGATTAATTCAAACTGCCGGTGGAATTTCGTCTAAACAACGCGATTGCGCACATGCTATTTATTCGCGAATCTCACGTATACGGAACAAACTTTAAACATCCTGCTCTTTAACGTTTCAGCATGGAATATGTAGAATATTCATTTTATATTTATTCCATTAAATATATTCGTGTTTAAGTCGAGTATTGCATTTTAATTAATATTGAGGTACTATAAATGTAAATACAGACAAAGCTAACCGTATCATAAAACGTGAAGATCATTAACAAATTTAGTAAATTACACAAGTGAATTTTAATGTCGTGCGGAATTATATTGTTAAACGAATTGTGAAAGATAGCCGTTTTGACTTCGCCTGTGATCTCGAGCAGTTAATACGATGATGAATTTAATGTTTCGTGACAATAAAATACTGCGTCTGTCTTGGATCTATTATGTAGCGGAAAGTAGCCTTCTTGAGGGGGGCCTATAAGTGATGCACGTCCCAACCCCCCCCCCCCGTCTCGTAATACCTAACAAACTTTGACCTACGACCTGGCCTCGACCTCCAAATTGCCTGCCATTTCGGTGCTTGTTTGCGGGAACGGAGAAAGAAAGGATGACTGGTAAAGCAGAGGCAGCCGGCTGCTCTCCCCTCTGAACTAGGGTACGCGTGCTCTCGCGCAGGGTTCCAAACGACTTCTCTTGATGGAGTCAACCCGGCTGTATTTTCGTCAGAACCTGCCAGCGCGCGCGCAAATCCACAAAGTTAAAGAAGTTAACGACACGGCTAATTAGCGCCCGTGAAACTTCGGGACGATGCATTCCTCGCGTGAATTCAGCGATGCCGCTTGTTACGCCATTCATTCGTTCTCGTTACCACCGGTGTACAACAGGGGGAAGAAAAAGCAATAACTTTTTTCGCGTTTTTACGCGCGGTGCCGTTTGTCGCGACGCGTTCATAAAATCCGCCCCGGCTATTTTATTAGAAAGCACGTGTAGCCCGATCCATTTTTTTTTTCTTCGAGTTTACCGACGGTGCGCTTTATTACGGTTCGGCGTTGGCGTTTATAGCCCGCAACAAATTGTTTCACGGACGCGCGCGACCCCCGGAAAATCTAGATACAAACGATATCGCGTTATTCCTAAAAAAAAAAAGAAAACACTTCGCTATTGAATTATCATAAAACACAAAAATATTGTAATATTGAATTATTGTCTAGACACGATTATCCAACACGTTCGTGCTTTACATCGCGAAATTAGAAAAATAAACAAAGTGCGTATTCATTTTGCGTCGCGTTTGCATCTTTTTCACCGGCGAGTATTGCGCAACAAGGCTTTCCGTGGCCATTCTCGAGCACGCTCTGCCGACGAACCGGCGGCGGCTGCTGGTTCCAGTTTTTCAATAATACCGGTTCTGAGCTTCGCCGGCGCGGCCTAACGAGAGCCGTTAGGTAACTCGAGGGAGATCGATCTCGCGCGCGCGCGCGAGAGAGACGCGCCTCGTACGAGTTTTGTTGTGTGTGCACGTATCATCGTGCTCGTGCAGCAGCAGTGGAGAATGGTGTGCGGAGGGGGAGGGGGAGGAGGGGGGAGGGGGGGAGACCGGAGGAACCAGGGCATCATCGTAAACTGCTGGAAGCCCTCGAAACACCCTCCGAGTCCTCCCATAGCAACCGCGTCCCCGTAACAATCGCTCCTCCATTCTCTTTCTCTCCTGTATTAACTCTCTCGAGGGTGGGCTCACCCCTTTCCGCGTTGCGCGATGCGAATTGCAAAATGCAAGGTTTGCCTTTTGCGCGCTGAATACCGATGTGCAGCGGCGGACATCCCCGGCGGGAGTCACTTAAGACCCGGGGATTGCCGCCGTGAATTGGAAGTCATGGCGATAACTCCTCCGTTAAGACCCCTTCGTCGTCGTCGTCGTCGAAGCGAGGGAAAAATCCTTCCAAACGCCTGCCTGCGCTCCTATCGTCGTCGCAGAGGACCCTCTCTGATGATTCTTATCGCTCGCTTTACTCGCGAACTCGGCAATAATCATATACGTTTATAGAGAGAAGAGTAAAGTCTACAAAGATATGTGAAATAAATTTTTTTATAGGATGTAGAAAAAGGTGCGTTTGTGTGCAAATCGCGACATACTATTGCGAATTCCGTGTGAACGACCTCGCGATCGCGTCCAACCATAAATCGGACAGGAGGAGCAGTTGAAATGGGAAAGTGGCGTGCCGCGATGCAGTAACAGTAACTCGACATGTGGCTTATATAGACACTGAAACTAGGAGTGGCCCGGCGATCGCTCGTATTCGTTTATTCCTCGCCTCGTCGCGCCGTTATCCACCTCCGTGCGCAACAAAAGCGGACGGACGCTCGTAAGTTAATAACGCGATGTTTTACGTATTTAAAATCTGTAACTAATAATGCTGTTCGCGGTGCATTTAATTTCGCAATTTTCCCGACTGGCGTTTAATGAATCGAGAACGTAATTTTGCGTAATAAATTTGTACCAATTTCCTCTTCTGATTTTCAAGATAATTGAAATATCGTTATTTTGTTATAAATGCCGCGTCGCGCGCAGTTATTTATTTTTGTGTAGTTCCGTAGCTTCGTGAATTTCTCTCTCCGCATGAAGAAGTTGAACGACCTGAATATTATCGTTTCGTCGAATACTCGATATGCTAAGCGTTACATCGACGCGATAGTTTATTATTGCAGTCAGTGGTGCGAACTGCGGCTCTTTATCTTGCGACTCGGTAAATATTGTTTCTTGGGCGCTGTGACGAAGATAAATGCATCGAATGTCAGCGGCGCCGGCTTGCAGGAAATACTGAACGGGCAAAATGTCAAGCGCACAATAGTCCGTTTCTTTTACCTTTCTTTCTTCGATAAATAAATTGCATTGAACTGGATAATATATAAATAATGTTTATATTAATAAGAACAATGCTGAAAAAAACTTAAAAATTTTTTACTAGACACTATTATAAAGTTTTTTTTTAGAAAATACTAAATTAAAATTATTTTAGACAAAAAAGTACCTTCTCTCTATAAAGTTTTGAGCGTGAATCAAGTTTTTTTTACTGAAGACAGCGCTTATGCTATATGCATTATATTTCGCTGCTGCGCACTTATTATTTTGGCTTAGCTAACTCCGATAAAAAATTGCTCTGCTAACAAATATTTGCGAACGCTTTTTTTCTGGCAAGGACACGTTGTGTAAAACGTAAACTGTCGTAGAACATTCTTTCTAGATGTAGTTTTATCTTTTTATAAGACGTTTGCGTGCAAAGATGCATTAACTGCAAAGTCTTGATGTAAATGTGGAGCTTTTATTAATATTCGACTGTATTAATCGGCGCAACGTTGGTTTTTAAGAATTTTAGAATATGTTTATAAAAATTTTGTCAAATTATACATTTCTGTTTAATTTACATTTACGTGATTCACGAATTCATAAAACAAAGGGAATAAAAGAGGGTACAAGACCTATAGAAACCTATAGATGAGAGCGATCTGTCTCGCAAAGGATGGACCGCGTAATTTTCTCGAGGATTGCGCGGAGCCCTCCTTGGTCTACGCCGAGTGGCGCTAGAACTCTGAATGATACTCGTGTTCGAGGGGGCAGAGATTAATTAAAAGGAACGCTCGTAAGAATGACGTCGAAAAGCTTTCCTCGTAATTCAGCCGTTCTGAGAGAGATGAAGAGCAAGACCTTCCTTCCTATCGCATTCTCTCGTGCTTCGCGAATCTCTCCGTATCGCCTCGCCTGTCGATTCGATGGACATTGATTCCCAATGAGCTGACGCTGATATACGACAACGCTTTCGACCACCCTGAACTAATAGAAAACGTCCGTGCGGATTTATTATATACGTGTTGTGTCGTGGTTATGTTCTTTGCTATTTTCGAGGTAAAAACCTTTGATCGGTGTGGGCAGATATTTTATATACAATGCCGAAAAGCAGATGTGAAATAAATCTATCGTGTTGTGTAGACTAAAGTTTACTTTAGACAATTTATATTTGTGACGCATTTCAAGATAGAATTTTATAT